AAAAAAAAAAAAAAAAAAAAAAAAAAAAAAAAAAAAAAAAAAAAAAAAGAAAACATTATTTAAAAAAAAAAGAAAAGAAAACATTATTTAGCTTTTCATAAAACTTATTACTTTCTTGATATAACATTGATGCTCTCATTTTAACTATTATAAAAATTTGTTGGGATGTTTTAATAAAGTCATTTGTGTTCCCTAAAAAAAAAAGAAAAAGAAAACATTATTACATTTCTGTGTGTGCATGCACACACAAATACCTCAGCACACCTGTGGAAGTCGCAAGACAGCTTACAGGAGTCTTCTCTCCTCTTACCTTGTGGGTCCTGGGAATCAAACCCGGGTCCTCAGGCTTGGCAGCAAGCTCCCATTACCTGCTGAGCTACCTTGCCAGCCCACATGTCGTTCATTGTATTTTGCAATGAGCAATTTGGTATAAAAACACATGCTTAGGGGCTCCTTGGACCGACCCACCAGGCCTACCTTCTCCCCCGGAGAACTGATGGAGTTAGCCTCTTAACTGTGTCCTAAGGACTAAGGATTCTAGCAGGCAGTGAGTCTGACAGACCCTTCCCTCCCCCACAGGAGACTCCGTGGTCTTGGCAGGCTGGGAAATTTTGCACCACACAGGGTTGGTTCGAGCAGTGTACGTCGGCGAGAGTTGATCTTAGCTCCCACCCCACCCCTGGGCTGTGGCTCTCACCTTGGTTGTCCGTAATCAGTTGGAAATGGCGGCCTCCTAACTAAACTTCCCTTCTCGGGCAGCTGAGCCCCTCTCTATCTCTTTGAAGATTACAGGGTTTTACCGTGCCTTTAAAGTGAATTTTCCCCCTGCGTTTTATTATAATTAATGACCAGAAAACTCTTCTCTTTCCCTCCCTTTATCTCTTAAATATGTTTCTTTCCTCTTTAAAACTGCAGTATTTCTTTTAAAGCAGGATATAGATGTGCCTGTCCTGAGCAGGGCAGGCCTTGATTCATCTGTCAACTTGATTATGCAAAGCCCGCGGTTGGCTGGCATCTGAGGCAGATTTCAAAGCCCCGATTCACGTGAGCTTCCAGGCTGACAACTCAGAGAGAGCAAAAGTCTACAGGCGCCCAATCATCTGGCTCAGGCAGGGTCCCTCCACGGTCCTAAATGACTCAGGGGACTATGGTGTGTGCATGTGCGTGCTCTAACAACTGAGAAAACACATCTGCAATTGCTCAGGACCAGAAGCGCAAATTCATCATGAGAACATGTAAAGATGTAGGCTGAGACTTTTCTTTTTCTTTTTCAACAATAAGCCTTGGGTGGCCTTTGCTCCTTGCTCCAAAATTTTACCATTGTGCCCCCACTGAACAAGACAATGTTTGGGTGACTGAAGCCTGAAGCCCAGGGCACAAATGCTAAGCAATGCTTAAAATATGAATGCCCGTGTGTGCACAGGAAGTATTAAGAACATGGCGTCTCTTCTGGATACAGAAGATGGTTGTTTGGCTCAAATTGTTTGAGGGGTACCCAGGCAGGGGGATCAGGATCTGTCCCTAGTGCATGGGCAGGCTTCTGGGAATCCAGTGCCTGTGGTGTGACACCTTGCACAGCCTTGGTGCAGTGGGAAGGGGCTTGGACCTGCCTAGGCTCAGTGTGCTGGGCTCTGCTGACTCCCCATGGGGAGACCTTGATTTGGGGGAATGTGGGAATGCGGGGTGGCTTGGGAGAGAGGGCTGAGGGGTGGGAGGAGGGGGGGGAATCTGTGGGTGGTATGTGGAGTGTGTAGAAAATTTCTTAATAAAGAAAAAGGGGAAAAAAAAGAACAAGAACGTGGCGTCTCCCGTTGCTCATGAGAATGAGGGACCAATGCTGATCTATACCACTGTAAGATGGGTAATAGTGGCTCTGACCTCCACCTATCAATGCCAGTCACATTACGCAGGTATGACAAGCAAAGCCGTCTCCCAGCTTTCCCAAATGTTCTCACGGTCTGCTTCATGAAGAGAGGCCCGTAGAGTGATGCTGAGAACTTAGGATCACACAACTCCTTGATCAGGCTTTTACTCATCAGCTTGAGTCGCTTCCCCAGGGGACCAATCTCAGGGGTTTGGGGGTAAGGTGCAGACCCCCGTACACTTCACTCCGCCCAGAGGCCTCTGCTGGGTCTTTGCCATTTTCTGGAGGCTGTTTTCTGCGAGAGCTCATAACTAGATGCTCTGATGGAGTGGGATTGAAGCTGTCACGGGCTGCTCCACTCTAAGGAGACATTGGGGTGCATGGCATATATGTTGTACAAGTAGACCCTTGTGGGTCTTTGGTGCTGGGGGGAGAGATCGGTCTTGGTTTGGTCCCTGTGTGGTAGGGATGAAAGGGTCCTTGATGCTCACCACACAGCAGCAGACCTGCCTCAGTAGCAGGGTTGCAGACCCCACCTCTGAGTCACATGGCTGCATTTGATAGGAACACATAGGCGAGCTGGGGGCCCAGAGGTTCCAGCCTGGGGCTGTTCAGTCACTCCACGCTAAGTTCCTGTGCCTAGAACTGGGCTGTGTTGGAACAGGAGAGCTGAGCATAGCCATCTAACACAAGGACTGATGTGTAGAGCCCATATAATTGGCTGAGAATTGAGGCCACGTGCCACCTGCCTCTGAAATCACATTGCCTGGTTTTTGAATCGGACCTCCCTAGAGCATACAGTTGTACCCAACCCTCATAACTTCTAACAGAAATGAGCTGAGTCTTGTATCACGGGCAGGGGGACATGGGAAGAAAAGACAGCTCACTCAGCTGTCTCTAACACCCTACCTGTGTCCTAGGCATGCTCATTGACCTAGAGTCCAGTTCTAAGGGCTCGGAAAGAGTCGTTGGGCAGCAGGGTTTCTCCCACTGGGCTACGTCATTCTACCCTGAGTGAAATCAACCCCAGAGACACTCTTAGAATGGAGATATATATATATATATGCTGTGTGGCTGCTACTGTAGTAGACAGTGTAAATAACCTGGGTGCCCATTAAGAGGGGATGACACTGAAGATAACCTAAATGCCCATGAAGAGGGTACTTCAGCATTCTACCAATAGACAAAATGAATGGGTCAGATCAGTGTGTGCGATCATGGGATAATCGTGTAGACTGTGTAAAAGTTGTTTGAAATCTTGAGGTGTGTGTTTTTATGTATTGCAAAACACAGGGAGACACCTAGAGCAAGCCATGTCAGACCATGTCTGAGCCACATCCTCTTCTGGAAAGTTCCCCAGTTAACTGAGGAAAAGGAGAAAGCCCTAAGCCTTGGTTATCTTCTAGTTGGAGTTTTAAAAGAATAAAGAAGACACTAGAAACCCCAGGAAGAGAGAAATCTGAAGTCTCAGCTTTAGGTCTCAGGATGATTCTTGAACCTTCTACCAACAACAAAACTCAAGAGACTGCCTGGTCTGGAAGCCAGAAGCTGTCAGTGTCTTCCTGAGAATAAAAATGAAGGCTTGATGGATGTCTGCATCTCCTTCAGAGTGCCACGTGACTGTGAGTTCTCCTGTGTCACCAAGAAAGCTCCCACGCCAGCCCCGAGGGTCATGTGGCAGCATCTGCCTTCCTGAGCTCTGTTCCTGACATGAGTAAATAATGATTTTTAAATCAGAAGCAGGCTGTACCCCTCATGCCCAGAGAGTTCTCACCAGCCCCTTCTGCACAGGCTTGTTAAACAAGCTTCCTATATAAGTGTGTGTGTCTGCATATGAGTGCAGTGTCCAGGGAGGCCAGAAGAGGGCATCATATAACCTGAGGCTGGAGTTACAGGTGGTTGTAAGCTGCTCAGCATAAATGCTGGGAACCAAATCAGGTCCCTCTACCAGAGCAGTGCTCTCTTAATTGCTGAGCAATCCCTTCAGCCCCAAAGACAATGTGGGGAGGCAGGTAAGTGGCTGGACATAGGAGGCCCCATAGCCTGAACCCCTCCCACACTACTCCCACCCACTCACTTGCATTTCTAAATGCCCTGCCCATTACAAGCCAGAGCAAGTCTACCTTTGACAATGAGGACTGCTTTTAAAGACCTATACACTGAAAAACAGAAGGTCTTCCAACGCCAACCCTTGAAGGTATGCCTCTAGGAATGTGCATAAAGCCTAAACCTCAATTTCCCCTTCTTAAGAGTGGAAGTGTTAGTGCCTGAGGGTTGCCTAGAGGGTGAGTAAGGTAGGTGAATGTTTTAAACACGGAACAGTGCCTGGCCCACCAACCTCACACAACCCAAATCCCACTTAATCCACACCCAGGTCTTAGGTAGAGAGAATCTGAGTCCTTTTCTTCCCAAGAAAGGAAGCCAGCCAGCTGCCCTCTGTGTCAGCCCAGCAGCCTGACTCTAGTCTGTGCCCAGACACCCAGTTTCACCTTGGATTACTTGATTTGAGGGTGATTTGAGATTTGATGATTGCATTCTTGGAAGAAAAGCCACAGCAACAGTATTCACCCACCTTAATGCTAGCCATTGAACTACCCCGCTATTAACACATGACCTGGCCCAGGACTTCTAAAACTCAATTTATCCAGTACCCCTTTGGCACAAGAAATTTTTGCAGGGTTCCTGGGCAGGCAATATTATGCAGTGGGTACACAGGGCCTGAGAAGATGGCTCCGGGGGGTATAAAGAGCTTGCCATACAAATGTGAGGACTTGAGTTTGGATGCT